TTCTATTCTATTCTATTCTATTCTATTCTATTCTATTCTATTCTATTCTATTCTATTCAAGTCTTTTATTCCCCATTCAGATCCTCACAGCCTCCAGACACCGGGATAAGGTGTACACAGCATCACTCACTTCATCAGGGGCAGAGATGTATAATTGGGTATCATCAGCGTACTGATTATACCTCATCCCATGGCGATGGATGAGCTCACCCAGTAGCCTCATGTAGATGTTAAATGGGAGGGGAGAGAACGCCAACCCCTGCGACACCCCACAAAGTAGGAGCTGAGGGCGGGATCTCTCTTCCCCAATCCCAGTAGTGAAATATTCAGCTGGATCTTGGCAAATCACTTAAATCTGGAAAAAAAAATATTCAAAGATGAGAATGTTAAGGTATATAGTTCTTAGGAAGTCACTCGCTTGTCAGAAATGTCAACAGGGAAGGGTCCTTCAGCTCTTCCAATAGCAACCCATTGCCACAGTAACAGTCTATCCACTTTGCTGCTGGTCATCCTCTTTTTCTCTTTCCTTCAAGTGCTTCCTTACTTTTTGGATAAACCTACTGATTGAAGAGATATGTCCTCGAATGACTACTTGTAAGGCTTCTAATTCTACTGTGGACCAGGAAAAATCTCACAGTTTTCATATGGGTAGGCTTATATTCAAATGGGGCAGAGAGTGATCTTGATAACTATATATTGGGGATATTGACTTTGATAAATCTATAAAATTATGTACTGGAATTAGGAGCATTTACTTCAGGATTCTACATAGGACAAATGGGATACATTTTGAAGAAAGGAATTAATGGATATAAGTTTGACATCAGGACTCCAAGCAAGGGCAAAGTAATCAGGGCATTTCAAACTCCCAGGACTCTATTGCAAATATAAGAAGTTTCAGGCTATCTCTAAAAGTCTCAACAAACACAGTGGGGTTTAAGACTTACAGTTGTTAATTGATCAGGTACTCAGAACATTTGTCACATGTAATTTGCATCTGCATAACCAACTTGTTTCCCCCACCTTCCCTGCCTTATCCCAGTTTAAATCCTACCCAAGTTTAGACACTCCATCCATCTGATGAAGTTCCTGCAGGTCACAGAAAAGAGCTTTATTTATTTATTTAGGATATTTATAGTCCACTTTCCACACAGAAGGTCCTGTGGCAGACAGTAATCTATAAAATCAAGATCAAGCAAGATCAAACAGGAACATCAAGATAAATAAATAGATAATCAGATTAAAACACAACATAATCATTGTAACAAAACTACAAAAAATACATAGACACTCTTGAGGTGACATGGCCCAAACCTGTGGGTGAAAACAATGCTGCCCTGATCTCCATGGAAAAGATATTCCAAATTGAGGGTAACACAGGAGACCTTCCTACAGAACTTCATATCATACTATTCCTGAAGCCAGGGATTAGACCTTAACTATCACATCACCATTAGGACCAGCTAACATAAACCTATAATAGAAAAAGAAAGAGGAAAAAGGAAACTTAAAGAAAAAAAAGTTTCAATTTATCAATGGAGGAGGAAACTACATTTCTTTATATGTAAAAGGTCTTAAAGACCTTGTAGTTAGGTCTGCATTTACCTAAAGTCTGCTCCAGGCTAACTGCCAATGTTGCACCAAAGCGCTTTTAGCTGGTGACTTTGTGGAAAGATTCCCAAACAGCAACAGTGATTATGTTCATTAATGGACTTGAACAAAATCCAGTTCTGGTTCTTGTTTATCAAAACAGAACCAAAATAACTGTAGTAGAATGCCAATGTGGTTGTACTGGTCTCTCTACATTATACCAGTAATCATATATTCTACTGCTTCTGTTATGCCATCCAGGCATAAAATACAGTTCATAAAATATACTCCAAAATGTTTATAAACTACAAGACTTTAGGTAAATGCAGACCAATTCCACAAGACTAGGATGTTTGTCATTTCTTTTGAAGGACTTTCTTCTCAACAGTTTGCCCACAGCCCGGTGGACATCCCTGTTCCGCAAGGTATAAATGATGGGGTTAAGCAGAGGGGTCACCGCAACGTACAAGACTGCAATTTGTTTGTCCCGATCAGGAAATGAGTTGGATTGGGGAATAATATACATAGAAATGACGGTGCCATAGAACAAGGTGACCACAGTAAGGTGGGAACCACAGGTGGAGAAAGCCTTATGCCATCCTGCAGCTGACTGCATTTGAAAAATGGAATATAGGATGCAACTATAGGAACATAAAATAACCGAAAAGGGAACTAGAACAATAAATGCTGATAGACCATAAAGTATGGCTTCAGTGAGCTTTGTATCATCACATGCAAGTTTTAGCACAACAGGCAGTTCACAAATGAAGTGATTAATGTAATTGAGGCCACAGAACGGATGGTGAAAGAGGAAAGCAACGTATACAACTGAGAAGAGAAAACCTATGGTCCAACAGGAGGTGGCAAGCAGTAATTGATGTGTCTTGTCCATGGCGGAAGCATATTTCAAGGGCTTGCAGATGGCCAAATAGCGATCATAAGCCATGACACCCAACAGCAAACATTCGGTACTGCCCGTGCTCAATCCAGTGGAACCCTGCAGGATGCAACGGGTTGAAGAAAGCACTCTATTTCCATCCAAGAGAAAGGCTAATGTCTGAGGCAAACTGCCAGTGACATACACAATCTCCAAGCCTGCAAGATGGCTGAGAAAGAAGTACATAGGCGTGCGCAGTTGGGCATCAATGCGTACCAGTATGATGATCAGCAGGTTACCCAAAACTGTAAGCAAGTAGATGATGAGGAAGACCATAAAGAGCAAAATCTGTTCCTTCCGCTGATGGGTGAGTCCCAAGAGAATAAACCCTGTTCCAGAGGTGAAGTTCTCAACACTCATCTTGGCATCCTGCTTACAGAGTAGAGATATGAATGGGCAGTGAGGTAAATGGAGAAACAGAGAGAAAGAGAAGGAGAGAAAATTCTACTTCTGATCTTATATCACAATTTCAGGTCAGAGACTTTTTGGTTTCCAATGCATCCATCTGGCAAGTACTAATTCTATGGTTTGTCAGCAGCAGCACTGGGTCCTTCTTGTGATACTAAATGGTCCCTAATAAGCTTTCAGAAGATTCCACCAAAGGGTTGCATTTAGACAATAACAAGTGAAATGGATATTATGGAATATTGATGAAAACATAGTTGATGAGCAATTTATTCCTGAAGCAGAAAACATTTCACCAATAGAGTCTGGAATGTCTATTCCATTTTTCTGATTTATTTCTTATTGTACAGATAAGTTTCAGCAAGAGTGACAAAAATTGGGTGGGAGGAAAGGGAGAAGACTAGTTCCTACAATCTGTCACTTTCTCACAAGTCATGTCCGTACCTACAGGTATGTGGGAAAGAATCCTCTTTTCTTTGGAAAAATATGTCATCAGCATCACATACACGTAGGTGCATACATGACTTGTGAGAAAGTTACAGATTGTGGGGAGCTACTTTGCCACATCAGTCCTTTCCTCCCACTAGGATCAACTTCACTTATACTTTGTGAAGAATATGGAAAGGTGTGAACCTACTCACCTTTACAAATAGCTTCACAACTCTCAGAGTGGTAGAAACCTTTTTGAGAATCTCATTCAATCATGTTTTAAAGGCATTGTACTCACTTCCACTACAGACTTCCCTAGAATCAAAACTGATCAAAATTTGAGAATATAGAATAATGATTCTTCCTGAGTTTGCATAAGTTTGGATCTCATAAATTATAATGTTCTGCACAATAAAATGCGAAGCGTTTGGGTTTTTTCTTTCAGAAAGGTTCCAAAATAAGAAGTAACAATAGATAATTACAGGAGGTAAACCTCCTTGTGGATTCTCTAATTTTAGAGACACATAGACAGTTCTGAGAGAAGGAGAAACTACTTGCTAAAGGGAATCAAAGAAATCAGGGACAGCTTCAAATCTCTTCTATACTATTGCCAAGAAAGCTGTGTGAATGTGTCCATCAAGTAAGGAGGGGCTCAGCTCATCCTGAAGGAAATTTTACCTTTAAGAAGGTTTAGTTCCTCAACTTCCCTGACAGCTGTCTCTAAATTAAATTGCAAACCTCTTAGTGGCCATGGACAAAGCACTGCATGAACTCACCTGCCAACTCTTCCGTGTATAAGAAATGAGCAGCAAAATAGCTTCATCTAGAGCAGATGATTTTGTAAGATAAGTAAATGGATCTACTCCATGGAAATTGCTTCACTCCCTTTGGTATTGTTCTGTAGATCATTATAAGTGTTTGTTTAAACCTCATGGGCATCTGACAGACTAATCTAGAAAAATAATGATAATGCGATAAGGCTTGCTCCTTTTAGGAAAATCTACTTTTAGACTTCTTTCCTTTGTCAGGCTAGTAAAAGAATTTAGTTTTTCTCTTTTCTCTGAAATTGAGAAGATGACGCCAAAGATATCACTGCAAGAAAGCTTCATGGAGCGCAGCAATCTACTTTTCCATCTCTGAAATTTCTGATGGTGGGGAAATAGCTCCCCCATAATATTGCCATGGGAATTGGGGGTCTTGGGGTATCTTCCAACTCAGTACTCCTAAATTTTAAAAAAGAAGGTGGACTAGAAAGCATAATGAAGGGTTGAGCCAAGACAATGTAAAGAGACCCAAAATGTCCACTTCAGCAGGCAACATTTTAAGGAAGGTATTGGAAACCTGACACAGAGCTGGAGAGTAGTTTTCCTTAGGAAAAAGAAAGACATGGAGACAGAAGTTTGTGAACCCTTGTGAAAGTTTGTGAACCCTTTTGAATTTTCAATATTTCAATATGACCTAAAATGTGACCTCTTCTTCACACAATTCCTAAATACTTAGTGTTGGATCATTTCCCTCAGTAAATAACTGAACAAGTATAATGTTTTTGACTCGTTTGTTTAATTGGGTTCTCTTTATCTAGTTTTAGGACTTGTGTGGAGAACAAATAATGTTTTAGGTCATATTTGTGCAGAAATACTGAACATTGAGAAGGGTTCACAAACTTTTAAGAACCTCTGTAGCTGGATCCTTCTGATCTCCACAGGACTATCTTATTAAAGTTGGAAGAAAATGGTTTTCTATAGCTCATAGGCCAAAGACAGGAGTCAGTAGATGGAAAAGATAGGGAAGCAGCTTTGGGATGAAATTAGAAGGAATTTCCTTGCAGCTATCCAGTGAAGGGGCACGGTTTCCAAGAAAATGATAGGTTGTCCTTTATTATAAATAGTTAAATATAAGGTGGATAGCTGTTGTGGGACCTGAGGTTCAGATATATTCTAGGGAAGAATAACTACTGTTGGAGGGACCCATTGGATATGTAGTAATCAAGGGCTTAGATGAACCACAGGGAAGCCATGATTGAATGGAATGTAGCCTCTTTGCAGACTGCCCAGGAAATGATCTTTTCTAGTGATCATGATGGATAATGAGCTTAATGGGTTGTTTTGATGAAGTACCTAAAGTCCATCTGAACAAACAGGTACATGGAAATGCACCACTTTGCTTGGGTACTCTCACATAATAGTGCACCAAGGCCAGGGGAAGATTAAAGCATGATTGATGGCTAAAAATGCCAAGAGTTAGGACATGAACTTCCACAATCAAGAAGTGCCCAAGAACAGCTAGAGCCCTCCTTGAATTGTCTTCTAAATTGTAACATTATTTCATTATAAGATTGATGTAAATCAGTTGGTCAGAGTCCAGCACTCTTAAGATGTAAAAGAGTAGTTTTGTGTAAGTTGGGACAGGTGTTTTAAGGGAATGCTAGTACGTAATGGTTATTCTATTCTATTCTATTCTATTCTATTCTATTCTATTCTATTCTATTCTATTCTATTCTATTCTATTCTATTCTATTCTATTCTATTCTATTCTATTCTATTCTATTCCATTCCATTCCATTCCATTCCATTCCATTCCATTCCATTCCACTCCACTACTTCTTTTACTATCTTTTCCATGCTAGGGGGAAAAAAAATAACACCAAGGAGCTACAAGACAGCTTTTGGAAAGTCAAAATTAGTTCATATAACTTGACTGCTTATATTAGTTGGGAAAATTGTGTTGATCAGCAATCTGTGTCCTAAATTAGTTGTGCTGGAACTGAAAGCTATATTAAAGGGACAACTGTATTCACGTTGCTTTGTTTCAATAATCCTATGCAATTTTTGTACTGTGTACTGCTACCTTCTCTGGTGATTGTGCCCACTAGGGACAAAGATCTGGAGATGCGAGGAGATAGGTTTTCTATGTTTTCCACTTCCATGAACTGCATTAAATAGAGGATTAGGTTGGAGAAGTTCAGACCATCCTTCCATCTCAGTGTTCCCATCCCAGCAGATTGTAGTATTTTTTGCAGAAGAACTCAATGTTCCAATATCATATCCCATTGCCTTAATATGTCAACCTGCCTGCCCCAATCCCTTTGCCCCACAATGGTCTGTCACAATCCTTTTCAGTAAAAACTCTTCTTAAACCGAGGGAGATCTCCATTTCAGAACATCAGTGGGCACAAACCTTAGAGGAACCAGATTAAAATTTCCTCTTGTGTAGAATGTGAGTTAACATTTAGGCCACCTTTGTAAATCTGTCACAGTGGTGTTTGAAAGACCTGAAGGACCAGGTTAGGGATAGATTGTCATGGAGAACATCTATCTATGTGATGACACATAAGCAACAATCAAGCATTCATATAACAGTTGCTCTGTACATCACAGAAGACCACTTACTCTGGCTAGGCTTAATGGTTTACCATTAAGGGTTCTGGAAGGAAGGTATAACAATGTTCCTTTCCAGGATCCAATCTGTCCCTCCATAGAGGGTATCACTGAATGAATCTCACACTTTTTGCTGAAATGCCCATTGTATGGTTCATGGGATTCTGACTTAAGATCACCCCTACTTATAAATTGCTCCAGCTGTTCCATGAAAGAGAATGCATTTTCTTGTTAGCTGATAAATCCCTAGAAACCTCCAAATGAGCAGTAAAATGATTGTGCAATTATGATCACTGTAAGGAAACTTAGGGTATGATTAAAGTCTGCTAAGTTATCTTAGGAGGCAATTAGCTTTGCATTTTACCCATTCATTTTGTTGGATATGATTTGTTACATGAATTTTGGTCTATGACCATAAATAAAATTTGAAGTGAAGTACAGCTAGATTTCAAGGATATCTCATTTAATAAATAATTTTAATGTTATTGCTGATACGATTAAAGGTTTTATTTGGTTGGACTTTGGTTGCAACAAAATAACTCCCTCCCCTCCTCCTCACTGATACCGAATTTCTGATTAATTTAAGGCATACATTTTAACAACTGTGATTATTATTCTTATAATCAATTATACATAATTCTATTACAGTATATGAGTGGTATTCTACTGATTAGTTAGCATGGCAATGGCATTGAAGTATTACTATTATTATTACAACTTATGGAAAGCTAGATTCTGTGTAGTTGTATTTGAAGTTATGGTACTCTTTGCCCCCAGTAAGGGTTTCTCAATGAAGAGATCAGCAACCATTAGGAAATCAAGAGACCAGTTCAATCCTATTGAGATTCTCTTAATTTTTCTCAGGGCATTGTTTTGATCAATATTGGATGAAATATTTAATTTCATTCCAGCCCATTATTAACATCTCCAAAAGTCACCACTTGAAATAATTTTGGTGCAATAATGAGAATCAGCCTGCAGCAGTCCTTATGTAAATGCAGATAATTTCAAAAATGTTAGGATGTTCATGGTCAGTCTATGAGGCCAATTCCTTTCATCACCTTACTCATAGCCCTATGGACATCTTTATTTCTCAAGGTATAAATGATGGGGTTAAGCAGGGGAGTGACCACAACATACAAGACAGCAATTTGTTTGTCCTGATCAGGATCTGAGGTCGACTGGGGAATAATGTAGATAGAGATGACGGAGCCATAGAACAAGGTGACCACAACAAAGTGGGAACTGCAGGTGGAGAAAGCCTTACGCCACCCCGCAGCTGACTGCATTTGAGTAACTGAATATAGGATGCGACCGTAGGAATATAAGATAACTGAAAGGGGCATCATAACAAGAAATGCTGCTACAGCATTTAGTATGGCTTTGGTCAGTTTTATATCACCACATGAAAATTTCAGCACAAATTGCAGTTCACATATGAAATGGTTAATGTAACTGGGACCACAGAAGGGATGATAAAGGATGCTAACAACACTTAACAGTGAGTAGAGGGAACCTGTGATCCAGCAGGAGGTGGCAAGCAGGTGTCGGTGCTTCCTGTCCATGGCAGAAGCATATCTCAGGGGCTTGCAGATGGCCAAGTAGCGATCATAAGCCATGACACCCAACAGCAGACATTCCGTACATCCTGTGCTCAAAGCAATGTAACCCTGTAACATGCATTGCGTTAAGGAAATCACTCCATTTCCAGCCATGAGATGAGTTAATAACTGAGGTGAACTGCTAGTGACATACACAATCTCCATGGCTGCCAGATGGCTGAGAAAAAAGTACATAGGAGTGTGAAGTTGGGTGTCAATCTGCACCAATACGATGATCATCAGGTTACCGAAGATTGTAAGCAAGTAGATTGTGAGGAAGACCCCAAAGAGCAGGATCTGTTCCTTTCGATGGTTGGTGAGTCCCACAAGGATGAGCATTGATTCAGAGGTGAAATTCTCAATTTCCATCTTTATATCATGTCTACAAAACAGAGACATTAAGAGACACTGACAAAAGAAAGGGGGAAGGGCAGTATGACCACTCTATTCCAGTAAAATCTCAGTTCAGACATTCTTGATTTTTAATGCATCATCTTGCAAGTCCTGCTCATATGTTTGCCATCAGCAATACTAATCCCTTCCTGTAGTACAATACCTTTTCAATGCATTTCTCAGTAGTTAATGAGATTGGACTGCATTAGGCAAATAATATACCATCTTGGTATGTACATAATCAAACTTACATGAAGGTATGGCTTAGGTAACATTTGTTCCCAAGCTGACAATATTTTACCAAGGGGAATTCAGAACTAGCCTTTGGGTTACGAGGAGTATATCCATGTCTGAACCAGAGTGACAAAAATGGAGCAGGAGGAAAGGAAGGAGGGAAGTGGTAGACTATTTCTCACAATAGCATTTTCCCACAACTAATGTATGTGCCAGAGCATTAGTGTAAAGTGTTCTCTTTCCTTAGGTTAATGATGTAATCTGTATCATCTTCACTGAAACCTTCCTGGGAACATGGAAAGGTTTGAACTTGCACTCCATTATCAGTCACTTCACAACTCTCAGAATCTTCTGAGCATTTGACTCACCTTATGAAATCATGCCATATTTTTATCTTGATACATTGTACTTTGTTTTCCTCTAGACTTTCATTGAATCACTGCACTATATTCTATTTCAGGGGCTATAGAATAAGGATTTCTTAGAGGTTTGCTTTAATTCCTAATTTAACATCTCATGATTGCTGTAAAATAAAATCAGGAGAGCTTGGCTTTTCTCTCTAAAGAGTTCAAAGATGAGAAACTATAGGTGATTATAGGATATACATTTCCAGGGCAATTCTATGGGTGATGATCTCTGAGATGCATAGATAAATGGAGAAGGAAAAACTGCTGATACGGACAATCTTCTTAGCCTTTCCAAAAGAAATCAGGAAGAAGCTACCTTCATATTGTCTTTCAAAATACATCTGTGTTCACACTAATTGGATCAGGAATCTTTCATGGTATATTGCAGTTCTTTGAATAAATAGATACATATGTTCTTTAAGAAGCAGCAATCTTCTTCATGCATGAAAAAATAAAACCTTCAAGTCATACCTAGTTATCTTTGAAATAATACAGGATTTGTTTATATTTATCATTGTCTTCTTCCGAGAGGTGTCATCAACTGCCCATTGTAATCTTTAGCCCTAGGATTTCTGAGTGATCCTCCATCTAATTAATAGCTGGCTATTTTTTAAGTTTTTTTTAGGTCAGGCAAGGCCTTTGGCCACTTAGCTGATCCCTCATCCATAAACTGGTAAAAATAAGAAAAGTGAAATTTACCTGTGTGCTTCTCCTAGGTGTCCAGCAGCTATCAGGGAATTGTGCTTCATTCTACCAGTTTCATATAAGGTGCCAATAGGTAGGTGGATGTTACTTGGATTCCCAGGGAACGATGTTGAATTATTCTATTTGGGGAAGTTTTTCAGAAATTGTCGCCCATGTTCTTTTTTTTTTTTTTTTAAAAGGCCACCTGATCCAGGTCCCCCAGTACCCTAATGGGAGTGGGACTGCAGGTTAGTCTGAGGCTTCCAGTCTAACCTACAGACTGGAAAAAGATAGTGGTAAATCTCTTCTGTAGTACTGCCATGAAAACTGTGTGCATGGAATTATCAAGTCAGCAAGAGCTGAGCTCAACTTGAAGGATACTTGATCTTCATGAACCTTTAGTTCCTGATCTATCTTGTCTTCTGTCTATACACAAAAATGTAAATCTCCTTGGGGTGTTGAGCAGAATATTACATGACTTCACTTAGTGACTACTCAGTGCATGAGAGGAAAAGAGCCACACACTATTCTCTTGTTTACTATGTTCAGATGATTCTGTAAGGTAATAAGTAGATTGTCTCTATGGAACTCCATGGAAATTGCCCCCCCCCACCTTTTGGTAATTTTCCATAGATTGTTATAAATGTTTTGCTCTTTCTTTTATTCTCGTGGACAACTGACAGGCTAATCTAGGAAAAAATAATATAGTGTGATATGGTGTGCTGCATTTTAAAACGCCAGATTTGGACCTCTTATATTCTTGGCAGCAGAATAATTTCTAAAAAGAGATTTAGAATCTCTTTCCCATGAAACTTTCAAATAAGTGGGTTATGTATAGGGGTATTCATGTGCCCACATGGTAATAAAATCAGTCTGAAAATATGACTGATTTGAGAGTTTATGCTAAAAAAATAAGAAAATTAGCAAAGGTTCTGAGGGTGATGAGAGGGGCTGAATGTGAACCTTATTTGGTGGTGTCAAGAGTGGATCTTGAAAAAAAATAAAATATGTGAAAGAAATTAGACTGGAAGTAGAATGGCTTAGGAAGAGAAAGTGCAAGTCTAGTATGAAAGACAAATTATCTCTCAACAGAATGAATAGAGGTGGAGATAAGGAAAAAGGACATGAAAGCTGTTGGACAAGAGTAAAAAAATTGGTACAAAGTATGCAAAGTTGCCCACATGGAAAGTAATGAAAATGGCTGTTTGGTTGAATAATGGAGTAAAAGAAGTTGTGGATGGGAAAAAAAAAAAGGCTTGGATGGAGAAGTTCCACTCAGAAGAGATACATCTAGCTAGCTGTGAAACTAATATTATAGATATGGAAACTCATTGAGATGTCAGATTAGATTGAAGGTTGTATACTGAGAAAAAGGAAATGGGATAGATCAGATCATATAGAAAGTAAGGAGGACTCAATTAACTTGGTGCCATCATTACAGTATCTCTCTTAAAGTAAATGTGGAACCAACCCAATTTCTCCTTGAACCATTAGGGTTGTTCAAATTAGAGAACTAATCAGGTGTAGATGTACACATTCCTTTCAGAATTCTCCATCAAGTGGCTAGGAAAGCAAACTGGGTGCATGATTTGTCTGAATTTTTCCAGAAGCGGGGAGATATTCCCCAACACTTTCTCAAGGACAGAACTTCGAACTTAGAAATAACAGAACATATAAATGACAGTTTACACAAATCATGAGTGGTTCCCTCATAATGTCCTTTTGAGATTTTAATTTGGGGGCATTCATACACATTTCTTGGCTACCCTGTAAATAAATAAATGCAAGAACACCATACTCTACTGACAAGACTTTTCTACAATGTTTGACTCTTAAAAACAATTTTTAAAACAAATATTCTCCTATCAAAGTGAATACGAACCAGTAGGGGGGAAAACCAGTATCACTCTACCCAACACTAATACATAACATTGTCAGTCTCTCTGTCCCATCCTTCCCAAAGTGCTGAGGATGGGCCTACAAGATGGTTTCCCCATAATGAAGAGAAAGCTGAGAGATGGTGAATAACCCCCAGATTTTCTGAGGGTGTGTCAATACTGTGGGAACCTTTGGTCACTCCTGTCTACCCAAAACATGATGTTCAATTCAGGATTGGCCAAGGTAACCTCTAAACTAAGGAAATCCCATGAGGACACCAGTGGTTGTCTTTTTAGTGTTGTTTATTTAGCATCTTGGCCAATGCTCCATGAACATCCTTGTTTCTCAGGGTATAGATAATAGGGTTGAGCAGAGGCGTGACTATAATGTAAAAGACAGCAATTTTCTTGTCGCTGTCTGGAGTTGTTCTTGACCGAGGTCTCATATAGATATAGATGACCGTGCCATAGAACAGGGCGACCACCGCCAAGTGGGAAGCGCATGTGGAGAAGGCCTTGCTTCGACCGGCAGCTGACTGCATCTGTAGTACAGTAGATAGAATGAGCCCATAGGAGGTCAGAATAGCTGACAGGGGAACCAACAGGATCAGAACACCTGCTCCAAAAATTATGGTCTCAGTAGCATAGGTATCAGTACATGCAAGTTTCAACAGCACTGGCAGCTCACAGAAGAAATGATTGATGTGGTTGGGGCCACAGAAGGGGAGGCGTAGGGTACAGCCCACATTCATCATGGAGAGGAGGAAGCCACCAGCCCATGAAACTATGGTGAGTTGCACCCTCCGCCACTTGTCCATGGTAACAGTATAAAAAAAAGGATGACAGATGGCCAAATAGCGATCGTAGGCCATGACCCCCAAAAGAAGTCCTTCAGTACTACCTAAGGACAAGCCAATGTACATTTGAGTTGTGCAGTGTATGAAGGAAATGGTTCCATTTCCAGACAAGAGATGAACCAACATCTGGGGCACAATGTTGGAGACATAACAAATCTCCAGACCTGAGAGTTGAGTCAAGAAGAAGTACATGGGTGTGTGAAGCCTGGAGTCAGTCTTCACCAGCACGATGATCACAACGTTTCCCAAAAGAGTAAATAGATAGATGATGAGGATGACCACAAAAAGCAAAATCTGGGTTTTACGGTGATTAGTCAGTCCTGCTAAGACAAATTCTGAGACAGCAGTGAAGTTGTCACCCTCCATCATGGGCTTCTGCCTGGACAAAAAATCCAATTGTTAGTGAGATTCTCTCTTAATATATCACTTCTAATGTTCCCTTCTCAGTACTTCTGACATTTCTTGGTGACAGCTCTCACCTCCCTCAAGAATATTTGGAGGAGCAAAGCCTATCTAAAACGAGCTTTAATTAACATGAAGTAATGAAGGGCTAGGAAAACTCTATAGCCAGAGACACAATATAAGGATTCCTGGCTTTGCTGTTAGTTCAAGCAGACCATTGGATTGAATGGAAGAAAATGGCTATGACCAAAGGATTTGACAGCTAGACTGGAACCACTTTTGTAGAAACCTGATTTGTGGGTTGGCTGTTTTCTTTGTTAGTTAAAAAAAAAAGGCATGAAAGTATCTTGAAACCTCAGAACAAAATGCATCCTTCTTGGTCACTATCTTAGAGCAAACTAAGTGTTATCTGGGCAAGTGTGCAAACAAGAAATGGCTTGCATTTCTTTCCCCACCCTCCACATACAGAAAAGGGGAGATGACATCTTTTTTCAAGGATAGTTTTCAATAAAAGATCTTAAAGGGATGTCTTCTTTTAGGTCATATAGACTACTAGAAGCTGGGAGAAATATGTGATGCCTGAATCCTTCTATGATAATTTGCCCCTACCTTAATATGCAGGCTGTCTTTTTTCCTTTCCTTTATTTTAAAAGGAATTTTCCCATTTCTTCAGGAACTATTTTAAAAAATCCATGATTTTCATAAATTGCATTCTGTGCAAAATGCAGGAGCCAAGTGGGCCAAGTGCTTGATAACTCATCCCTCATCATTTATGACCCAAAGACATACAGTATCTGGTTGGTTACAAAACCTCATTCATAGTAGTCATTTATTTTGAACAAGAGAAATTAGATTATAGAAAAAATTAAAAACAGTCAAAGGAAGGGAGAAGAGCCTCATATATCAATAAACCATAGTGTAAACTAAGGTTGTTCTAATAAATTGTGATGCCATACAATGGCACTAGGCAGAAAGTTTGGATGGCTCTCCTTGACCTCTTTGGGTGCTGATCTAATGTGGATCTCCTTCTCCTCTGTTCTACCAGGTCTCTTTCTTTCAAGGGGTGTTGAACTCCAACACATCTGATAGAAGCAAGGTACAGAGAGCTGTTCTCTCATTTGCAATCAAGAACAGGTAGATCAAGAGAGTTTTAAAAGGCAAAAAATGAAAGAGAAGGTAGAAGGCAGAAGGC